CGCCGTAGTTACCTGCGATTTATTTTATTCCCCTTGCAAAGAAAATGAAGGTCGCGGTAACGAACGAGAGCTTTCTTTGTTAGCTGCTGGTTTCACGTCGGTAGCTAACGGTTCGTTGCCATTGTTGGGCGGATTTACGTCCCCAATTAAACGCAACGCATCGATAATTTCAATGATAAACAGGTATTTCGCTTTTTTAAGATGAAAAAGAAAACGATCATAAGAAGAAGCGATTCCTCAGACAATGCCTGGAAGCGAAGTAACAGGTTAACGCGATGTCTAAGGCGCTGGCTGTCTCCAAATACCCGTTATCTCTGTGCAGCTACGACAGCGATCAAAACCAAATTTAGGAGAAACAAAAGCTCTGGATCCTGAAAGCTGTTCTCAAAGCTTTGTAAATAGGACGCCGATGAGCGGAGACTTACCGAGGGGCGAGCGGACCGCCGTGCTACCGGAGCCCAGGCAGCAGCGCGACTCCAACCGGGAGCGACTCGCCGCTTATAAACTCCGCCAGAAACGACGTCGGAATACCAATCGCGAGGCGGAATTTAATGCGAGCTGACCTTTTTTTTTTTTTTTTTTTTTTTTTTTTTTTTCTTTTTCCAGAAGTACTCGGATTTGCTTTTTTAAAAGCGTGAATCGCCGGCTGAGCTACTTCGACGCAGGCATGAGTCACAGAGCTGCCGCCGCCCCCTCCGCGCGGCTCCGCACGGGGCTGAGGCGGAGACTGGAGGGGGCGGCCCCGCTTCACCCCGCAGCGCAGGCCCCCGGTCTGAGCCGGCCCCCCACGCAGCGCTCGCCGCCTGGCAAGTCCCGGTGCCAGCGGCGCTTCCCGCTTTCCATAGACAGCGCCGGCTCGCCCCAACGTCTCAGGGCGTGCCGCCGGACACAGCGGCGTGGAGGCGAGGCGGCCGGGCTCACCTCCGGCCCCAGGCTCCGGTCCGCCCCGCGGCCCGCTTCACCGCCTCTTTCCCTCCGCCAGAGGGTGGCAGAGGCACGGGCACCACGGTTCCTTGGTGCCTTCCTGGCGGCACGGGAACATCTGGATCTCAGTGACTCTCCCAGTGCTACCGCTGGATTACCGCTTTACACCTGCCATCCTTTTGCTAAAACGCAGAACATTTGTTTTTGCACCTCCGACAGTCCTAAATCCACGTTTTCCCACTCCACACCCCAAGCAATGCTTTGCTGACACATCACGGCAGTGAATGTGGTGCTAGGCACCGACGTGTTGTGGTAACTACGCAGACGCCCAAAGCGATCTCTGCTCGCAGAGATGACACGTAAGGGGCTGGAAAGAATACACAATGAGACGGGAGGAGGGAAGCAGGCAGGTGGGGTTGGAGGATTCAGCCACTTGCAGAGTGCAGGGCAACGGGGAGGTGTTCTTCCTGAGGGGCTTGAGGTGAAGGGCAGAAACTTCAACTCTTCCATGGAAAGGAGAGCGACAGACTGAGGCGTTATGCAGCCAAGGCGACTGTTTTGCCTAGCAGACCTACTGTCTAGGAAGTGGACACAGAGGACAAACAACGAGAGCACTCGAGTCAGCTTTCAGACGCACCGAGGTGCTGACCGTCTGGGATGACGTGACCTTCTGCCATCTATTCCAGGGGATGGTGTTTAAAGGTGGTTTCAGACAAGCGGGAAAAGCGTTTGCACGACGTGGAGCGTGAGAAATACAATTGTAGCTCACTGTCGCTACAAATGGAAATGGACATTCACAGGAAATCGTGGCAGGATGGCAGAGTAAGGAATCAACGAAAGATCACACAGAGACCTCAGAAGCCATCCATCACTGAAAGGTGACACCCCCCCCGCACCGTGCCCTGGAGCAAACACCGGGCTTCAGCCCCAAGGGGAAGCCGCCGGGTCACGAAGCTCCGTCGCCGCAGCACCTCGGAGCTGCAAGGTTCGGCACCACGGACAGCGCCCCTCGCGCCCCGCGTCTCCCGAGCGATTCCGAACGAACGCGAGCGATTCCGAACGGCCCCGAGGGAGGCGGGGAAGGCAGAGCTCCGCGCGGCTCCGTGCGCTGCTAGCCCCCCACCGCCGGCCGGGCAGAGCGCTGTGGGGAGCGAAGCAGACGGGGCTTGGCGCCGCCTCCGAGGCCCTCCAGGTGGCGCTGTATCTCAAGGCCAGGCCCAGCAGGCCGGGAGGCGGCAGGCAGCTGTCGGCGTTCCGTGCCCCCGCCAGAGACCGAGCCCCAAAGCCATCCTATGCGCACAGCACCCCATGTCCGGAGGTACACTGCGCGCTCAGCACTGAACACCCCTGCAGCGCACGCTCTTTTCATAACCATGTATACAGCCAGGTGCATGCCCAGCTGCTGTGGTGGTCCTGACATTGTATCAAGGTGTTTTTGTCTTTGCTGCCTCTGATTTTTTTATTTTTATTTTTAAACATGCAGTTATAACAATGTATAACCAAATACCTCATTACTATAACCCACGCTGACTGCATCAGGTATTTTTTTCCTTCATCACAATTTCTGGTACAGTTATGTCTCATTTACCTGTGTGTTTGTTGGAATGGAATAATTTAAATGCCAAATTTCAAAAGAAATGGAAAACAGTTCAAAACAAAGCTATTCAGAATTGTTCTCGCTCTCATTTGCATTGACAAAAAATACAAACAGATTGAAAAACAAAAAACAAAAAACAAACAAAACAAAACAAAAAAACCACCAAAAACAACTGAGAATGCTGAGAACAGTGCTGAGGAAAACTAACAAATGATTGTTCTAATTACTTGCCCTGTCTAGATCTACAAATGGAAATTAGGTAGACACCTCTATTCTAAAGATAACTTGTGCTCTCTGTTTTATGACACCTCATTAATGTTCACTGAAGTTCAGAGGTAGCTTTAGGTTTTGCCATTGACCAGTCACTGATGTACACAACTGTCCCAATTGCAAGGACTCTGTCCAGTACTTGCATTTCAAAGGCAGCTCAAGGAGAGCTGCCAGCTAGAGCACTCAGCTCTGCTGTGATGAAGGGCATTTGGAGAAGTCTAATCCAAAGCACACCATTTTACATACTTTGTGGCTTCTTGCTGCAGAATGCCCCCATGGAATGATCCATGCTGGCATGAGTTGCTGTCCATTTTGATCTGCTCCATCAGAAAAATGTCCCCAAGTATAACTCACATCCCAAAACAACAACAGGAGCAAATCCCCATTGCCAGTACCTACCAGCAAATAAGGAAGAAAAGAAACTCCTTAACTTCCAAACTAGATCAAAATAAAAGACAGCAGAAAGACTTATTTATCTAGATAGACAAAAAAAAAAAATACTTAAGTCGTAGAGCTGTAATTATAGTATGAACAAATAGTAACAGCATTATATCCAGTAAATCTGCTCCCTATTGGTTTTAAGGACTTGCAACTGTTTACTCTGTGTTTAAAATGAATTTTAATTCCAACTTCCATCATTAACCCTGCGGAGCCGAGACAGCCAATGCCCCGAGTCTCCCCTTGTGATTTGTTGCTGTAATCGTTACACGCCTCACTGAGCTGTATCTTTTTATCCCATTGGAGGGCATCAGTTGACAATTAGAACATTCAGTAATTTCAGTAATGCTGCTGCAGGAGATAACACAATTTGGCTCTGCAGTCCCAGAATGAATGTATAGAGATGAACTCTGAGATCGTTTAATATATGATCTGTTTAAATTAAGCATACTTCATAAAGAATCTTTTGGAGACAGGAAACACGGGCTTTTCTTGTTCTTAAACCATAAATCACTCTCAGGTATGGGCTTTCTTAGGTCTCAACAGTTACCAGAATTTCTATAGCTGTGCATTTGCCCTTTTATTTTTCCTGCTCCTTTCTTTTTTCCCCTCTTTTCTTTTCTCTGTGATAGTCAAGTCAGGATTTGGTTTTAAAAGCTTGACAGCTTCACAGAAAGAAACATTAGTAAAACATCAGGCCTTTTGCAACAACATAATTGAAAAGCCTGATCCCTCTGCTATTTTTCAGATACATAACAGAAATTTACAAATATATATATATATATATTTTTCCTATCCAAAAAGGAAGCTTCAATGCACGTGGCTGAAATAAAAGTAGTTTAAGAAGAAACAATTTGTAGCTAGCACACAGCAAGGTGCAAACCGAGCACATTGTAGAACCACAGTATAGAGGCAGGACAATACGAATATATATTTTACCCATCAGACAGAAAGGACAGGTAAGAAAGAATTCCCTCCCTCCCTCTATTTGAGTGAGCAGTTTATATTTCCAAATCTGAGGAGTTTCATTGTTTGAATTCTCACAATAAGCAGATGCATCCTATTTTGAGGAATGGAGGAGTGCATGAGCTTAAGGCAAAGCAATCAGCTGTTACACATGCCTTTCTTTCCAGTATTCAGTATTGGAGATTATATGAGAAAACTAAGGATCAGTTTTAGGGAAAATGCACTTCCCCTTGATCAAATGACATGATTCAAACTGCACACATTTGCTCCCAAACTGAAGTTCAGATTAATGTTACACATTATTCAGATCTATTAACGTAATAAATTCCTGTCCTCTACTTTGGCCCTTCAGAACTTCTCTCCAAGTGTTCATTTACCAAATGCTCTTGGCTTTTTGCTGGCATTTTGATAGCTGCTCTAGAAGGAGACAACCACAGGAACAAGCAGAACTGCAGCCATCTCAGAGGGTGTTAGCCATTTAGAGGTAGAACAAGAAACAAAAACCTAGCCATGCTATTTTTAAGTTTTTTGTTGCTGTTGTTTTGTTTTTTTTTTAAAGCTTATACACAGCAGATTAAGAGCAGCACTGCTCTGAACAATTAATTGAGTATAATATCTCCCTACAATTTTAAAATAGATTTAATGTTGTAAGAGTTTCAAGGAAACATCTGGGAAGAGGTAGTGCTCTGGGATTTCTGATGGCCACATTCTCTACAGAACAGGTAAGAGGGCTGACTGCGTTACTCTCTGGCCACTATGAGAGAACATCAACCTGAGACTTCACTCCTCAGCTTTCATCTACAAAACAACTTATTTCTTCAGAGATTAATAATCTCTTTTAGTAGAAGTCCAGGCTAAATAAACTGAAGGTAAGGCAGCAAAAATTATGAATAATTCAACATATCCTAGCTTATGCTGTTCATATCATAAAGAAAAGCCTGAAGTTAGAGATGTATTTCTAGTGATCACTTCACAGAAAATTGTATACAAAGGCATTAGGGATCTGCAGACTGCAAAATGACCAACATATCTTTTTAGGGTGTAGAAGAATACAGAATTCTCCTCTCCAGTATCTAAAATAGATCCACAACTCAGCTTGTGTATTGGGGTCAATTAGTTCTGAGTTATTTCAGACATTAACGTATCCATTGTTTGCCAAAGGCGGACTATGGAAAGTCCTGTGGCAGTTTGCAGCCTGGCCCCTGAAAACAGATGATAGACATTTTTAAAGTAATTGGGAAAGAAAAGTTTTTCTTTGCAGTAGTTTCTTTACAAGAAAGATGAAATGTGAAGCCTTGTAAGAGTGTGTAATCAATGAATATACATATGTTATTATTAAGAAATATACAGGAAAGTTAGCCTAAACAGGTCATCACACTAAAGAAGAATGGATGGAAAATTTACTCTTGTCCTGGACTCCCTGAGAAGACTCCAAGAGGAGCTATCTCCAAAAGAGATCCTTCCCCACTGGCAGTCAGCTCTGAAATGGGGTCTAGGAGAGGTGCAGCCAGGCTCCACCCCTTCAGGCAGCACAGGAGAATTGCCTTCACCTGTGCTCCCAGGGCTGACTCATTGCTCACCTCAGGTGGTCAATCAGAGGTTCAGGCCGTGATTCAGCAGTGTCCATACAAAGAGTAAGATTCAGACACTTTTGAAAAACATCTTATTGGTCCTATTTACCCAAACAGATTTGTATGAGGAATTACTAAATGATAAGTAACACAACACAGAGACACCCCAGAAACTAAAGACAATTAAAAAAAAGAAGTCTGCATACAAGCACATCTAATTGAATGAATATTAACCAATTATTTCTTCAAGAGCTATAAACTTAGACCATTTCTTTATTATTTGATAATTTGATTCTCATAAAAAAGAGCACACAAAGCATCATTTGGCAACACTTCGACTCACTATCGGCAAATAGAGGCTTTTCTTACTTTGAGGTGAAAGGAAATAACCCCCTCAAAATTATAGCATCAAATGGCTGCTATACAGTTTCAGACATCTATATTAGGCCTTAGAATTTCTTAAAGAAGAGCAATAGTAAACCTTAATGTGTTCATGTGTTTAATATATGTGGTTACTGTATATTCTCTTCAGCCTATCCCAGAACTGCATGTTAGCCATATTTGGTTTTCATTAGTTGACTTTACTGAACGTGATTACACTCAGTCCAATTCTCCCTCCCAACATAACTTAGGATTTCATACAACACAATTCTCACTATTTTTAAAAATAAGCTGTAAATACAGTAACAGTTGGTGAGGAGCCTCAAACTGCAGCAGCATGGCTGAAATCAGAGTATTTTTTTAATCACTTATAAGCAGAAGAATTGCTCTATCTGTGCAGCTAAATGCATACCTTTTAATAGGCATGCCAGTCAATTCAGACTTTCAAAAAACACTTGGCTTATTATCTGTTTCTTTCAGCACTGTAACATGGTTCACTTAGACTTCACCATATGGACACCAACTGATTTGAGGTAATACATATGGCAGACATCCCACATAGATGCCTGCATTAAAAATGGCAGAAGATATTAGCACAAAATGTAAACCATCTTGAGTTTATACATCCGATCTATTATTGAGATACTCAACTAAAAAGGGAATTTGCTGCTCAAGAGCATATCTGAATCATTTAAAAGTCTTAATGCCAGCCCAAGAAAAATGAGCATATCTATAAAGTAGGAGGAACAGTCTCCAGATTTTAAAAGCATGGATATGAATTCATATAGAACTTAAGCAAATGGTTCTATTTTACAAAAAATCTCTAAATTAAAAAAAAAAAAAAAAAAAAAAAAAAAAAAAAAAGCAAGAGGAGATGAGTGATGCAGACACAAAAACTAGTAATTCAGAAATCACTGCCTCAATAAGCTTGATTGCTTCATTTCCTTTCAATTTAAATGAGAAAAGTACCCTATCCCACTTTTCTCTGTAAAGCAGCTGACATACTTATCCCTTATCTACTTCTGCAAACCAAACTTCTGTTCCTTCTACAGCCTATCTGTAGCCAGAGAAATAGTTGAATTATTGGTGGTAAATTTACTCAAGAAATTCAATCTTGTAATTTCTTTACGCAGACCAAAGCCGCTAGGAATGTGAATTCAACTTCCTCAGCTGAGCATGAATTGTACATAGCAGTCACATCTATCATCTCTGCTGTAGTGCATGCTACCTCAATCCATAACTTTTATAAATGTTAACAATAATTAATACAAAACTGGCAAAAGCCACAATCTTATCAGTCATGTACAGTTTCTGATCAGTTTTACAACTGACATTTATACATTGTTATATGTTTATCTCCAAATCTGAACAAGACAAAGAGTTGGGTAAAATTTTTCAGTTGAAGTACTCTTAACAGCTGTTTTGTTCAGGTCAAATCCATAAAACCACAACATTTTTCAGCAAGTTGTGTTTTCATTTTTAGGTGGCATTTCTGTCACTGAAAACAGTAGCAGGATCCCCATCATCATACTGAAAGACTTACTTTCCCCCCATTCAAGTCTAATGCAGTGTACCTCCAACTACTTCTATGTACCAAGTATGAATGCATCCACAAGGTAGAGAACAAAGCAGCTTTTACAGGCATAAGTTTGAAAGTAATATGACTATAGAAATCCTAGGGCTTGATATTAATGATAGTAAAAATCATTGAAATTTAGAAGAAAAACACTAAACAATATATTGTAATGTATCTGTTGGAGGATCAAAATCATTGACTGGAAAACCATAGAATTTCCTGACAAATTTTCCTCAGAATCTTAACTTTCTTCACCTACTTCATCAATACTATTTGGATTGTTAGTAGTCTTGATGTTGCTGCTTCCATGACCTTTTTCTTCATCTTCGTTGTTGCCAATGGCAAGTTTCTGTGATCCTTCTGCCATAAAAATATATAAAATCATTCTTTGCTGCACTACATTTTACATCAAAGAAGTTTATAGAAAACAAGTAAGGCAGTTAATTTAACCTATTTTCAATCAAATCATTAAATACCAATTAATCCTTTCTAGTGAGTGAAGAGAGCTCTGCAATGATTGTATGGTAGGCAGCAGAGTTAAAACTATGAAGGTTGCTTGTATCCTGAGATATGTGGATGTGATGTGACCACTTTGCACTTGGAATCAGCCTAACAAAGCTCTAAAGCCAGCACAGCTGGTCACCAGAATATCACTCGTTTATGGGCAAATGCTCAGATGAATTAAGCCACTGTTTCAGCTTCTTTATTGTTTCTGTTTCCTGTAGCTACATAATAGCAAGGGAATGGGAAAAGATTCCTCCCTCCTTACACTGCTCCAGGTGTCCGTATATCCTAACGTATGTCTGTATATTCTAACAGGACTAAGTCCTGATAATGAATAAATTCTTTAAGCTAAACTTAGCACAGAAGGAGTGAAATACACACATAAACCAGGCTTGGGATTATCCAAAGATGTCTTAAAGTAATTATTTCCCCTTCACTGTAGTATGTTACAGAATTCTGAGGGACCTCTTTGAGCTTAAAATCTTTCAGCCTAATATGTATTTCATGACAAATATGGCAAACACTTTGACATAATTCAATTGCCTTGATCACAGGTAATAAGGCATAATCAGATGTCTCTTTGTGAATCTACTGAGCTCCTCTACTAATTGTTACATTCTCTGCTGGAAGTTTCCTGCTGAAATGCGAAGTGTATTTTCAAGTGTTCCTCTTCCACTTCAGCTTAAGGTGATTCAGATTACTTTATGGTCTTAACGCTTTGGACCAAGTTAGCTGGCATCATACTGACAGAGATAATAGGAGCTCATCTGGCCCATTCCACCTGTTCTGAGTTTTTAAATTCACAAGATTTGCCTTTTCCGCCCTCTATCCCCCCACTCCTTTAATGTACTGTGAAATTAATACTTGTGATTAAACATCAACAACTAGAAAATGTTTACTATAGTTTTTTTTTTAATTATTTTTTAGCCCAAGGCAGCCTATTTATGATACAGACTACACAGATTTAATATAAATATATTCTTAACTACTGACTTTTAAAACATAAAATCAGGTTCCTATTAGTACAATAATTCACCATGTTTAATCATTAAAGGCAAAAATGTCTCTATAATAAAATACTGCAGCTATGATTCTCAAACTTACTCATCAACAACCGTATTTCAAGAAGAGGAAGAAGCTGCTTGGCTCTGGTGTTTTTTTGTTCACAGATCAGAACTGAAATTTGACAGCATAAATACATTACCAACATGCCTATGACTACACAGGCAAACAGAAAAGTGGCAATAAGGCTGTCATTTGTGGTTCATAAAAGAGCAATTATAGCAATGAAAAATGTACATGTGCACAAATCAAAACTAGATATTCATAACTTGAAGAATGTCAAGCCTACTGTTGCAGCCAGTGCTTCTGAGTAGCACTGACATTTTGGTTAAGTGATTACAGTGAAAAAAAAAATGATTTCTCAGTCAATGGCATTGGTAATTTCAGATGAAACTTTAATTCTAGCATTAAAATGGAAGCAGACAAATGGCATACAAGACCAATAAGATCATAAATTAATGTAATTATAAGAACAAATGGAAAATTCAGTCATAAAGTTAAATCTGAGAGAAACCCCATACCAGTAAGAGGCAAAAAAACTTGAGCATTGTTTTGCATACCATATGCACACAGAAACCGTGAAGTAAGCAAAACCAATCTAATTAAAAATTTTTACCTGAAAGAATAATCTCTGTATTTTCCTTAATAGACAACCACCTTACTCTTCTCACATCCCTATCTCTTCTGTCTTAGAAGTACCATCTTTCCTCTTAGAGTTTAGATAGCCAATTGAACTCATACTATCTTAGGTTCTTAACTTACACTTGGCTTTGAAGCCTTCTGTTTTGATAATATACCTGAGGAAGTATTTCTATGTCCAGTATTTGCATACTTTTCCTCAATTTATGCAAGCTGGTTCAATAAAAGACAACATCTCTGCACCATGCTTATAAAAATGCTGTCACAGGAGTCATTTGTACATTTATTCTTTGCTTACCGGCATGACAAATAGTTCATAATATAATGGGAAAAGGAATACATTCAGTAAAAATGCTTGGCAAAGATCCTATCCACAATGACCTAAATTTGGTGATTCGATTCTTCCCCCCCCACACACACTTTGGAATGGAACTTGAGGTTTAAATCTCTGTGGGCAAAAGGAACTGAATTAGAATTCCCCAAAACCACAAAATCTGCAAATACTCCAAATACTCAGATTTCACTCCATATATTCCTTTGTGCTGGGAGAAAAGACTCTTTCCTAACTCTTTGAAAAGGCTCAAAAGAAAACTTTTGAGGAGATTGAAATTATGGTCACTTACTTTGTATTTCCAACTTCTTAGCTTTGTCCAATCTTGCATATGTGTTCTTGTACAATCTGGGTAGCACTGCTGGATGAATTCTTATTTTCCACACTTTTGGACAAAACATGCTGTCTATGTATCGGAAGATATTGTCATTGGTGAGAATAAACAAGGAAAAAAATGAATAAAACAAGCATATAAATATAAGAAATACTAAAAATTGCATCATTTTTTCCATTAAATTTGCCCATAATGATGCTTGACAACCACAGCTATAAAAACACCAATGTAATCACCCTAATAGTAAATATTGATTGGGTTAGTTGAAAAATGAACAAACATGCCACACATGTATTTTGAAGGACAAAACAGTGGTTCTAATCATAATGTGATGAATTTGTAGTCTCTTAAAGCTGAAAATTCCTTAGCAATAAAGTCTCAGAAAGCAGCAGACGTTGCTTGCTACCTTCCTGCTTCCTACACAGCAAAATAATTTTTACCTCATTTTAACAGGCCTTCTCCTACCATCCAAGCTTTACAAGGAATATGATGAACAATGAATTTTCGATTTGCAATCAATTCCAAGGTAGCTCAGATCAAAGGTAGGTTTGCTGACAAATAATAACTCCAAATTTTAGGGCATTTACTTCTGCAGACATGTCCAACAGACAAAACTCAGCCCATTTTCACTGGCTGCCCGCAATGCTGCTGTTCTCCCTTCTGCCTGTGCTCACCTTGTGCAATGGCAGATTGTAGCCACCTCATCTGCACCGCCAGGCTCTTCTGCAAATATACTCTGTAACAGGAAGTCATGCCAGGACAGAAAATGACTAATCCCCTTCTCTTCCTGCTAAACCTGCAACTCAAAGCTCCAGGCAGGAACTGGGGAAGAGAGCTGCAGCAGCCACTGTGCCAAGATTTCTTGCTCAGCAACACTATCAGTCACCTCCTGCTGACTGACCTGCTGCTGATCAACCATCCGAAGTGCTGGACTACTTCAACAGTTCAGAGGATTTAAGAGGATTTTTGGCTTGGGGCTGCATCATGGCCAAAAAGGCTATGAACTGAACTCCAGACCCAAGAAAAAAAATTCTTTTGTGTGCTTATTTTTCACTTGATATCCGTGCATACACATTTATACAAAGAAAGCTATGCTCTCTCTACATAGCAAGTACCTCTCTGGGTCCAACAGCTTCTGTTCTCAACACACAGTAAATGGTGGCAGCAGTGGAAATCATTTGTTGGCCCTGCACCTCTCAGCAGTTCCACTGCCACCCTTGAACTTCCAGCACACAGATATTTGCCCTTCCTTTTCAGTGGTTCTTTGAGATTGACACTGAAAACACTCAAGTAACTGAAGGTGTTCAGTGTGTACATGCAGAAACTATGTTAAAACATATGGAATGCTTATATCTACTTTTTGAACCATTTGGGGCAATTTCTCACTGGAGGTCTTAAAAATAAATTAGCATTACCACAAATCACCTTCAGTGTGATCCAATCACACTGTACTTACATAGTGTTAAAAAGAGTTCTCCAAGAAGTAAAGCAAGATAGCAAATTCAAATGTCAATATTGGTGCTACAGCTACAAAATTTGAAGAGAAAGATGAATACCAGGTAAATACAAGTTCAAACCAGTAACTTTAAACTACAAGTACAATGGAATAGGGAGATGGCAGAAATACATTTATTTAAAAGGAGTTTAATAACTACTTCTGAATTTCTGTGCCCTGGTGCCCACTCCATAAAGCCAGAAGTGTTTGCTGCTCCTGAATAGCACACATGAACACTCAGATGAGAATTATCTCCAGTTAAAGGTCTCTACACTTATCTATCCATGCTTATCAAAAGGATTAATACTAAAAAACATAAAAAACAACAATTCACAGAACATGAAAATGTTGAGGTTTCTATATACAGCTTACACAATAGTCATATTTTTTATTTATTTGATCTTAATAACAGCAGTGCCAAGTGAAGGACAGATTAAAAAAGTTCATCCACGTATTCCCAGTCTCTCAAAATTAATTGGGTGACAAACGATTACATTAGAGAGCTCTAATTGCTTAAAAATGCATGTAATAGATCAGCTGCAAAACTAAAGACTTCTTATTCCAGCACTGCTTGAACTGATTCAGCAGCCACTTCTGAAAAGCCAGCGCAGAACAGCAGCTTCACGTTGGGTTCACCTGATGCAAATTTTTTTCTCAACTCTAGGACTTCCTTAACGTGAAGATGGATGGTGATCTGTTTTCAAGTTGCATTTCACATGTGCACTACCAAAACACTCAGCCCCATGCTCACTTAGATTTTCCTGGTTAAGTAATGACCATATTAAAAGAAATGCTATGTTAAAAGATAAATATTACCAATAATGTATCTTCCAGCCTGCACAAAAGTGATTTAAAAATTTTGTCTGTTTACAGACTAAAACAGTGATTCTAAAAAGTGCTAATTTTCCACTTATCATTTAATATTACTCAATTCCTTAGGCAACAGAAAAAAAATCTGTAATTTCAATACAAATGCAGAGAAAGACACAAACGAAACCTTTGGCATTATTTCATTATCTTTGTGGATATTGAGAGCAGTATAGTTTAGCTCATCATTCAAAAGGATATCTAAATGAGAAAAGAAACAAATCTATTGCTGGAAGGGTGGTGTGTATTTCAGTCCTGGAGTAAGCAGCTGCTCATGCTATTGATCTCAGTTGTTTTTAAACAATTGTGCCAAATAGGAAATTAAAGCAAGCAGGCAAACAAACAAAAAAAAATCCAGCATAAATATATTTAACACAAAACTACCAGAATTTGTCCAAATAGATATACAACATCAAAACAAATTATTGCTGGTTTTTTTTTTTTGTTTTTTTTTTTGTTTTTTTCTTTTTTCTTTTTTTTTTTTTAAATTTTATATATTGGCTCCATGTGTTTTACCCAGGACAGCTACTGATTTATTGATATCAATGCCTAACTCAGAAAACAAAACAAAACAACAACTAAGCAAACAAAATGACACAAAGGAAGCCATCCAGGGTCTCCCGGTGCCCCCTCCAAGCTCTGGAGGTGGGCTTGCTCCCTGCCCCCTCAGCAGAACTCCTCTGCACAGTGATGCATGTGCTCTCGCCCCACCCCATTACACACACAACCGCAGCACACACTGTGTCCTCATGAGATTGCTGAGACTTAAACGTGTGCTTAAACGGGTTTCTCTGTGGATTTCTTAGGAAGCAAACCACATGAATTCTGCTGCTATGCTCTCTAACATTTATGAGGTGCTAGAATTTGTAATTACTGTTTCTGGTGTTTTCCAGCATTAGCAAACCACCAGCACAGGCTGATTACGTAGCATCAGTGGATCATCACAATACGGCAATACAGAACAAATGTAAAGTGATTTTAAAAATGTGCAATGTATCAGGTTGGATGATGGTCAGTGAGTGGGCAGTGGGGCCATTGTGCAGTCTGGAGATGTACAGCAGAGAAACTCTCAGAAATTATCATGAGTTTGAAATGAAAAATATTGATTGCACTTTCACAAATACTTAACCTAAGTAACACCTCCAGTAGCTACAAATAAACCCTAATTTTTCCTCAACTCCAACAACAGCATCAATTACGTAGCTCCATAAAATTAAAATATAATATTTGAATGTAAAGCTTAGAAAGTCACACACACGCAAAAAAAAAAAAAAAAAAGAAAAAAGCTTAAATTTTGACACATCACAACACTGATGCCAAGCGCAACCCTACTTAACCTGCTCTGCCCTTCAGAATGTGCACTTTTTATTATAATTCTAATTTGGTCCACTGGGTGGATTGCTCCTCTTTTATCCACTAGACTTGATCAAATCAGTGCAATACAAGAACTGCTGATGCATGAAATGACAGGTCAACGTAACCTTGTCATGGAGTAATGTCCCTGCAAATCACAGTAAACAAATAAAAGAGTTCATTTTATGCTCTGGGTTTTAGGCATAAATTTCAAAATTAAAAAAAAGCAGGTATATTTTTACTTCAAAAATTATGTATTGCTGCATACTCTATATGAAAAACTAATTTAAATAATTTATTAACACAATAACAGAGGAAAAATACAAATAAATGGTGGTTTTAGTGGACATTAAAATATCCCCTTCATCCACCACTGGACATTCCCAGATTGGTGTATCTGATTTCTTATGGTCTTTGTACAAAAAAGGCTTTGCAATGACTTTAGGCATTGAGATGTGCTTTTGTTTTCTTTCCTTGTCCAATGCAGATGTCTCTAGAATAAGCTGTTGTAAATACCAAGTACTGTACTTTTAGCATTATCTTTACATGCAGCAGATTTGGTTTTGCAGATTGTACTTTTTCATTTTGAATTAGTTATCACAATGAAGTTAGTATTAGATTGCTAAAGATCCCACCTATTTAAAACCAGACTTGTCTTTGAGATGATTAACAACTATATGAGAACTCTGTAAAACTATTATAAAGGCAGTCAAAAACAGAACTAGTACACCAGCAGTCGCAGACTAAAACACCATCCCTTAAAAGCTTTCAGAATAAGCTACAAGTATATATGTTTGTGTGAACATATACACAAGTTTCTACATACCAAGGATGGGAAACACAACTGACTAGGACGGCATTGCATAGTTCTGAGCGTATAAATTCATGCTGATTCTGCACAGCAACAGCAACTTCTTAAAAATTATAATGCTATTTCATTCCTGCTCTCCCTTCTTTCAGAAAATTAACACTGTTTTGTTCAGCTCATTCATTAACATTACACTTACGAAAAAAGTTAGTCCAAAAGATATTCAAGCCAAGAGTCATGTTGCCCCTGTCTCTCAAAGAAACTGTTTTGTATTGTTAGGATCAATGAATGGAAACAAACTCAGATGCTTATTTTATATTAAATAAAAGTTTAAAATATGCATGTAATAGACAGCTGCATAGTTTTACACAAAAATTTAGTGAAAAATAATCTGTCTGAAATATATTTTTTATGTTTATAAATTTAATAGGGAAAAGAGTTGTTGGAAATAGGTGTTGAAAAGATTTCATTTTTCATTTGGGAGACAGGAGGGAACACACACATTCTGCTGATAGATATCTCAAGTAGGGAACTCCTGTCAGAGCCATTTTTCAGAAAGTGGACATGTCAACTACGCTACCTACACAGTGAAGCCCAGAGACAGATCTGTGATACAATGCCATAATTCGTTTTTATCAGAGTCTGTCTGGCCACATTAAAGACAAGATAGATTAATATTTAACTGAAAACAAAACCTGAAAATTCAAACAAAAATAATAAAAATGTAATAAAAATAATAAATATGTAAAATATGCCACTTACGTTCTTACAATTATTTTAACAGCAAATACACACGCCCCTGTTTTAAGAAAAGACTTGGAAATTAGAAAGATTTACTAAAAAAAAAAAAAAAAAAAAAAAGCCTAGAATATTACCTGTAGTCACAGATATCTCATAAGAAAATACAGTTCTGGTATTTGAAGAACTGGAAAACACCAACAAAACAAAATATCTTTAAAGAAGCTTGGGTGAGCATATCCACTATACCATCTATTAGAGTCATATGAAGGCACCTATGAATAAAACCAACTGGTTTCCTTTAACATTAGGCTGAAAGATCCTATGACAGTACCCACAGGCCAAAAAATCATACTAATATTCATCAAAACTATCTGTAGCTTAGCTGGGTCAAAAATAAAGGCATTATTTAGCCAGTATAAAGGATATATTAATTTCCCTGTAGCAAACAGAACAGAAACTCAGTAAGGAAAGCAGAATCCCTCAACATGCGGTAGCTGTGCATCCCTGAAAGGAGCAGCCCCATGTCTTTCTGTTCTCCTTCCCAACACTGGCATTTGTAAGTGCTTTGCCTGATCGCTCTCTCACTTTGAAGCGGCCCAAGCAAGCCATATTTTAGCTGCTGGGCTCTGGCCTTCCCTCACAGAAGGCATACAGCTGTCAGGGAAGTGCAGTGTTTTATGTTGGAATTTCAGGGATGGACCAGACCCTGCTCCTTTAAAAGTCAGAGAAAGTTTTTCCATTGGCTTAATTAGGAGCAGGAGGAAGTCCAGAGAAGCAAATTTCTTCAACAGTATGCATCATTCAGTGGAATAAAGTGTCAGGCAGGAAAACAGACAGGTAAGAATGAATACCAGAACTACCATCTGAGGAAGTGGCTGAAACTCAGACTATCTCACTAACATCCCAGATGCGTTCCTACTTGATCTTCTGACAACAGATGAGAAATGTCACTGTGCTGTGCGGAGCACAGTGTGATGTCTGTCCCTCTGCCTGTGGGTTGCTCCACGTGCTACAAAGCCTCCCCTGCAAAAGACACCTCCAGCAGCATGAGCAAGCGCCCAGCCTGGTGTTAGCCCTGCTTTCTGCCCGCTCCCCTGCTCTGCACCTCATACCACCCAGGCTTCCTCAGCTCTCCAAGGCCTGCGAGTCTGTAGCAGCTCACAAGCAGGAATGAGCTGCTCAGGCAGAAGGGGGGACTGAGATAAGAGAGCAGCAATTGGTTTAGCTGTTTCCAGTAGCTGATTCCAGATTCTGAATGCTGAGATACGTTTCTTGTGACAGAAACCCTTTAACTGAAGTGCACAGGAAGCTCACCATTTCTTACACATTGCACTGGATGTGTATATATATATAAATGGAATCATAAAAACGTGCTAGGAACTCTATACTGAGAGAAATGAAGTATCAGAAGGGCTGTCTCTGTCCAACATTAACATCTCAGCCATTCTCATCTTTTTGTGTGTTGTAATAAAGGGACAAGATAAAAGACAGGACTATCTGCCTGTCAAATCACATTTTATCCTTTTAAATTAAATCACCCTTCATGTTATACAAGCATATAAAAAGGTTCTGAAAGCTGTAAACCCATATAATGAACTACTTTAACTCCAAAGTTTCCTAGTAACAGCAAAAAAGCTTCATACCGTGTGTGCCACGCGATGGGCTGTGGTGACGCCACAGAGGTGCTGGGGTGTGTGAGGGTCTGCTGCTGGGCTGAGAGCTGGTTGAGCCTGATGCTCTGTGGCAGCACCAGACAAGGAGCCATAGGGCAGGCTGTGGGGTTGAAGGGGAGCTGCTGTTTCTGGAGACATGTGGTAAGCTCATGCAGCTGCGAAGGGCCTGGAGAAGGGGGAAAGCATCATTGTGCACTCTTCCCCAGTGTTAAGGGACACCCAGTAAGAACTGAAATAGATACAAACCTGTCCAAGAGGGCATCACCCAGCTGTACAAATAACTACCAAAAATTTGCTGTGAACCCAAAAAGCATAAGGGCATTCATAACAGGATGAGACAAATCCATGAAGGATCAGCATGCCCACGACTATTAAACACAACAAGCTCCATCCAATTCCAGCTCAGGAAGCTCCTGAAGCACAGTTCCCCAGAGCAGAGTAGCTATGCCAAGAGGAATGAATGCTTTTTATATGCCTTGCTTTTAATCCTCTTTTTTTAAGCATCTGTTGCTGCTAAGTGGACTCCTAGATCCAACAGGCTTTGGTCTAGCTCATGATACCAATGTACCTCCATTACATTCACCATTTTCCCTGAGAAAACCATTTGATGCACTACAGTTCCTGGCTGCCAAAGGAACCTGCACTTTTATAGCTCCTTCTCTTCCCCACCCCCCCCCCTCCCCCCCCAAAAAAAAAAAAAAAAAAAACACCAAAAAAACGGCATGACTTAAACTATCTTAAACAAGTACTACTAGGATAGCATCAGTAATAATACCTGAGAGGATTCTGTGGAGTGGGTAAAAATACCCTGCCCCTAGGGGTATGGGTCAGAGTCCTGCTTAGGAGACTCAGAAGCTGTATCCTAGTGGTGGAGTGGTTAATAAGAACCTAACCACTAGGAGCTTAATTGTACTCCTCCGTTGCCACAGGCCACAAAAGCTAATGGGGATTAGCTGTGAAGTCAATGTGCCACCTGTCTTTAGGTGGGTCTTAGGGCTTAGTTCCTTTCTGTGAACCTCTTCAGCTGAGCTGTTGCTTATGGCAGCTTAGTTTGAAGTGATTTCCTAATGACTTATCTTAAATGAAGGTATATTGGATTGTGCAAAAATGTGAGAAGAGTGTGATTTTACACGTTAGGATTTTTTGAAATCAAAATTTTAAAATCCTTGGTATTAGAGATCATTACTGTAGCCCTAGATGCATCTCACACTAACAAGCCTTAGTGTTACATTCACAGTACTAGGTTAGGATTAATAGACGATTGGTGTTGATTGGCAATTTAAAAGAATTGTATCTTTTGAAAAATAAGTGCTTCTTTTTGTCAGCCTATCTGATACAGACAAATCTTTTTCAAAATTCTGATACTGGATTGTAACTGGTGTATAGGAAACTTTTATACACAGAAAAGCAGAACAGAGAGTAGGATGGCCACTTAATTTGCTCCTGACTGTGTAAAACTTCACGGCTTAACCAAAGAGAAGGACATCTCCTGCAGGCAAAAAATCAGATGAGACTATTTTATCCTTTTGATTTACCTTTCTGAATAAATGATGATAGATAAAAGTGATACCACTCCATAAAAAAGTGCTGTGGAATCAGCAGCAAGTCAAGAGGTTTGGTTGCTTTGATTAGGGTTTTTCATGTGGCATTGAGATGGTAGGAACTCAGTCATTTCTGTAGTGAGATTTCATGAGAGAGAGACTGCTCTTACTGCTTTTGAGATCAAGAGCAATACATTCAGGACATATTAAGGATGGTGAATTACATAGTCTATTAGTTTTAAAGGGGTGAGGCATGCCTATAATTGGAGGAAATCTTGGTTGAATCATTTATCTTATTCTGTTTCATAAAATGTGCTTCGCTGTATGCTGTGCTTTCCTCTTTTACATTTTAAACAGGATGGAAATTTTTTTTTACATTGAAAGAACAAATAATTAACACATAATTGGCATATGCTCCATAGGTAGAAAATAGCACGGACTGTGATGTGATTTAATAGCTTGGCCATGGAGGCCAGAGGAGGTGCGCTGCGTCCCCAGACTATTGCTCTCCAGAAGGAGCCGTGCTTTCGGAAATGCAGTCCCTCACCCAGTGACAGTGGGTAACTGCAGCAAATCCCTTGAAAATTAAAGCCCCTTTTGTCAGAGCACCCAGCCAGCTAAGGGATTTTTTTTAGAAAACAACCATGCCCAGAGCATCTCACCTGCTGCAGGGTGGCTCATGTCACTGTAGGAACTTGTGCAGAGAAGGGAAACTCTGTGTGCCCATACCCAGCTCTGTCTCAGTGATCTGTATAAAAACCACAGGGAATCTAAGCCTGCATCATCATTTTAATTGTTTTTATCAACATCTAAGTTTTGCATCTTTGATAGTGTGTGTATCTTAATTAGGAGCTGGTTCTCAAGTGTATTAAAAAGCAACCGAACAAACCAAATAATTATATAATTCTAATACATCACTCTGAGTATTCAAACCATCTAATTGCTGCAGCTTATTAGAACAGGCCCAAACTTGTCCTCCTCCTTCCTCTTTCTTGAACACACAGAGTGGCAGAGGTTCTAATGAGTAGATCAGAATCCAAATCTGAGTGTTACAGCTGATATCTTACACCTGTTTTAAGTCTAGCAGGAATTAATGCATGTAATAAAAAGGGAAATGAGTTCTAATGTACTTAAGCACTTTATAAAGAATGATTTTAATGTAACATGCTATTCTGTTTTACTGGCTGTTTAATATTTAGCATTTCTATAGATGATTAATACTATAGTTCCAGTGAGAAAAATAATTGAATAGCAAAACTACAAAGTGACTTCCACATTTCAACACACTGCAATTATTGTGCTTAGCTTATGAAATTTTCTTCTTTTATGCAAAGTGTTTTGAAATAATGCACTTGCACACAAAGATTTTTTGGCAGGGCAGAGGAGAGCACAATCCTGCAAAGGCAGTGCAGCAGCTGAAGGCAGCAATACTATATAGAGGGGCTGGGGGCTGTGCTACAAACTCTTGTGAGCTGTGTGAAGAAGCTGCGGGGAGTGAATCAACTAAACATTTCCAAAAAGTCTTGGATCTTGTGTCTCCTCTCTGTATTCAGGGAGCTAAGGAAGGAAATGGGACTCTTTCTTAATGTTGATATTCGTGAGCATAAGCAAAGGGTTCTTCCTATTTCCCTCACCTGACTCAGCATGCAGTACAAGATGCAGCTCAAGCAAAAGAAAGGCTCCCCAGCTGCTTTGTCTTCCGTTCACCCTCCTGATGAATAGATTAAATGACCTTCAGATCCATGAAGCTCTTTTTTCTTCTTTCAGCTAAGATTTTTATAAGGCCCTGTTTAAAAAATAAAAAAATAAAAAAAATCCACCTCCTTGTTCTGTCACCTTTTGTATATTCAAGATGGCACAGATGTAGCAGTTTCAGATCCAGTGTTTACATGGATTAGATGGTGGCTCTGGCCAGTTTTAAACAGTATTGCAGAGAACCTATTTCCCTTAACAAGATTGCTCACAGTTCTGTTCCTTTTCTCTAATTTAACTGTTTTAGAACTGAACACACCCTAGATGCTTGCACTCTGTAAGCAGCTTGCCAGTTCTGTCACACAATTTATTCAAGCATTTTATTAAGAAGCTCAGACATAGCCTGGGGTCTTATGTAGGCATATAAGAAGATTTGGTTAATATTTTGGAAAATAAAAAAGTATAATCTTTGCCTGCTTAAAACTATTTCTTTCAGTTCTTTCAGAGAATATGAATAAGATGAAGACAGCGGAGCCACACTACTGCAGGATCATGTAATGCTGGGAAGAATGGACCTCCTACATTTGGCTGCAGAAGTGAACATGCAGTGTTTTGTAACATGCTCAGTAAGCAGCTGTCATGCATTTGACTGCTCTTTGCAGGGATCAGCAAAAGCAAAGCACTGCTGCTGCTCCTGGTCATTCAGGAAGGCAAATAATTTTGATGCAAGTGGAAAAAAGGAAGCCATTTGTACACTCCTTTGGGATTAATGTGCAGTAGCTGAGAATACCTGACATTCTCACTTTGTTATCTTTCCTGGATAATCTTTGATGAGGGAACCATGTGCATTTTCCTCTCTCTTCTTCACACGTGCATCTTAGACTTATGGAGAGCTGTCTAAAACAAGGGAGAATGTGGCAGCGTGACTGATATCTCCTTTCTATACAGACGAGAGATCTGCATGTGGAGATCACAGGCACACCATCTGATCCTGAATGAAGCATGTGGGATATGACCCCAAGTGAAGATATCGGCTCTGGTCTAATAAAATTTCTTTTAGCCAGCTTTGTAATTAGAGCCTGTTTTGCAAGTGTGCTCTCTGATGGCTGGCTCATGTTAAAAAGGAAAATGAAAAATGTCTTTGAGTAGGGTAGAGGTTAATACTGGTATTTTTTTAAACAGCCCAGTACTGCTACAAGGACAGGGACATTCAGATAATAGGAATCTACCTTCTGAAAGCACAAAATCATAGGCACACACTGTTGCTTCTGATGAAGTTGGTGATGTAGATATTTGTAAGTGGAAATATTTAACTTATGAATATTATCTCAGTTTAGCATATTTGAATATTATCTTCCTCCTTGTGGTCCATCCTTCCTTCCATACTAAATGCTGTGGTCACATCATGCTCACTTAGGACATCTCTGTCACTATCATGGCAAAAATCTGTGATTCCCTGGTAACAATATATTTCTAATGTTAAGAAAGTTTGCTGTTTGTTATGGGATAGGTTAGCAGGAAGGACAAATTATGATATTGCCTAAAGTGAGTTACTTGCTCAGTATGGGCATCAGTGGCAGGCAAAAGCAGCAAGTGCTGCCCTAGAGAAGGGGGATTGAGGTGAGCTAGGTGGAGGGTAGGGAAGTTCCTACCTTCAGACAGACTGTGTATTTTATTAGGCTAGAGAACAACTGAATCCAAATGGTAATGAATCCGCGCTCACTTGAGGATGGAGCAGGCCAGGGTTTGGCCACATGATGCTGCATGCACTATTATGCCAATCACGGATGGGGAAAAAACACAACAAAATACATATAATGTGTTTTTTCATGATTCTGTGGCTGTGACATCTGCAGAAGACTGTAGATGCAGCTGTACACGCAAGGCAGCACTGCTGCTGGCACAGCTTCTCTTTTAGTCTAGAGGAAGGGAAGAAAAGGTAAAGGAGAAGGGTTGCTCTAGTGATGCACACTATGGCTTTTAGCATATATTGTTACACAGGTAAACTGCTCCTACTTTAGACAGAGCTGAATGGGAACAGCTATCATAAAATAGATTATTATGATTTCTTTGGCAGTTCAATTATGTCAAAGGAAGTTTGAGCTTTACTGCCTCTGATGGAGAAATCTTAATCTCTGCAACACTGTACAAGGCCTCTGCACCACCAAAGGGTGTGCTTGGACTGTTTGTGAGTGCTGACTCAGGTCATGCATCAGTACAAACTCACTGAATATGTGGAGCACCTGGCCACCAACTCCAGTGCTTGGCAGCATGGGATTCCCTGCACAGCGATCTGCAGGGAAGTTGGATCCTTACCACATACCTGTGTGCACAGTGAGCACATGGGGCCCAAACAGTTGGCTGGGCTGCTGTGACCGACAGGACTGAGCAGAGGTGTGACAGCCAGCTGGGTCAGGGATGTGCTGGGATTCAATGTGTGCTTCAGTGAATGTCTTCCACAACAAAATTAAGAGGTGAGAATCAAAAACAGTGACTTCCAGGTCAAAGGCCAGATTTCACTATCCATAATCTCCCTCTGAATTGTCACAGTAACAAGGACAGAAC